CAAAGAAAAGAGATGATGCACTGAACGACAGAGGACGCTTGAACCGAGATGGCCGAGGACCTCCGGTAGGAAACGAACCGAATACTGATCACTGAACGGTAAGTAATGGGTCGAAGAGACAATTTCTTCGAAAGGTAGAGGAACGCGCTTGAACCGAACGGCCAAGGGTGAAGGAGATGACAAAGAAGAGCAGAGGAGAGAGAAAAAAAAGTCTATTCACTATGCTTTTTAATAATGTTGAGCAGGAATAGAAAAGAGGCCAAAAAAAAGATGAGCAGGAAAGACTTAGGAGGAAGGGGAGAGATAAAAAAAGTTGCGAGCCACGTCAGCGCGGGTTTAAGTTAACCTATTATGCCAATTTAAGCGGAATGACTAATATTAATTACAATTTTTACACAACTTTAGGGGGACTGCATGTATACACTTTTAAATGGGGTGGTACTTAAATTGAAAAAAACCCACTAGCTTAACACTAGGGAACCAGTAAAGCAATTAAGCCTAAAATTAGAATACCTTGTGTTTTCAACCATTATTTTTTTTCATTAATTGTGTTTGATGTTAGACCTGACATTGTCGATATTGGATGTGTCATCATGTGGTAGGTGAGGTGATGCGAATCTAAGTCATGTTTGTTTCTTATGGGTATAAAAGATCTTAGACTCAACATTTGAAGCCTTAGAGGCTTTGTCGAATTTGCTCTAAAGGTTTGAGATCTATTGTGTGCTCAGTAGTACGAAGTTTCTCGCTTGTTATGGTAATGACCATAGTTTTAGACAACGAAGTGTTTACTATTTTAAGTTGAAATTAATCAAATTGGAATACTTTATTTTTGTTAAAAAATAAGGAGAGTATATAATTTTGTTTTATATATGATAAGTGAGATAATTACTTATTCACACATAGTAAAACCCCTCATTTGTCTTTTTATCAGGTATTGCAAGACTTGTATATAGGTATTATAGATTTAGATACTCATATGTTTTTGGATTATTTTGTAGGAAATTAGAAGATTGGAGCATTGCACAAAGTGTTGCTGCCGAAGAAGTGGCTCGCCCAACGAGCCAACTCTACTCGCCCAGCGAGAGCCTGACATGCTAACCCATCCAGGACGGCCTAGCGAGCTTGAAAAAAAGGTGATGCTATGAAAGATACCTCTAGCCCAGCGAGAGGATTTGGTGGCTCAACGAGTGATCACTTTTTGGTGACCCTTTAAAGTGTCAAGAATTGAAAAAAAAATATAGTTTTGAACGTGAGAACACAACTAAAGCTCAAAACACGGGTTGAAGCACTTCTAGGGTTCAAAAACTTCATCTTCCTTCATCCTTTTCATCATCCAATCCATCCTTGTGTTCTACAATGTATAGCTAAACTCCATTTCATTAGGGTTGGATGTAATGTACCTAAATTCTTTGTAGTTCTTTCTATGCAATAGAATATCTTTCATATTTCTTGTGTTCTATCCATTTTATTCACTTGAATGATAGAATATCTATGATATTTTGTTGATAGCTAAGCATTGGAAAATGCTTTGGAACCTAGACATGGATAGAATAACCAATAGACTTGACTCTAGACATAGACCATGACTCTTGGTCATTCTATACATCTTTTCTTAATGAAAATCTTGTGTTTGAATATTTAAGGGATTAGTATTTTTTTCATAAAGGTTTATAACTTGTTTCTAGGAAATTAGGGCTTGTTTACCTATGATGTGAATGCTTGAATATGTTAATGATATATTGTATGGATGAGTCCTTGGAGTTTGGGTCATGAAATCCAACCCCGACGAGTCTTTACTCATATTACTTTATAACCTTTATATTGAGTAATTTTACATGTTTTCAACTTATTTGAACCACTCATTGCTTATATTAATTGCTTAAACTAGTAAATAATTATAACTATCTAAACAAACACAAATTTCTTTTGAACTTACAATCTATATTACTTCAACATTTTGGTACAGTGAGTTAATAATATCCATGCAATATAAATATTTCAAAGTGAAATACTTATGGGGTGGTGGTTAAATAATACAGTTGTTTGAATTACAATATGAGTTCATGTATGCTTATTCTATTTTGAATTTATTTGATAAAACAACTCCATCTATACAATTGAAGAAAATATTAATATATGATTTTGTACAAAACTAATAATAGATTAAAAAATATATGTTATGAAGGTTTCAAACTCATTCCTTGATTGCACTAGATGAGTTAATATAAATTATAGGTTGTATATTTAATTTATATATGAATATTATTATTTATGCTGATTGCATTATAAATAAAAATAATGTTGATGTAATTTTTTTATTTTTTTAAAGTTTGAATTGTGAATATAACTTTAATGAATTAAATAATAGCCACAACATTTATAATTGATTGATATTTATAATCACATAATAAACATTAATTGTAATTAATTATACCTTAACTTTTATCCAGAATTTTTTATGTTTATATGATTAATTATAATGAAATATTAGATTATATTTTTTATATTTTTCACTTGAGAAAGAAACATAGCCTAATAGTTTTATCATTAAGTTATAAGAGTATAAGTGAATAAGATTTAACTTACAAGTAAATTTTATGTCACTCGATTCATTTATTAAAACATGTTTACATGATTAAAAATGATGTTTCCTATAATCCCAAATCATGATGATGAAAATGTATTTTAAAATTTGCACTTTCTNATAAGTGAATAAGATTTAACTTACAAGTAAATTTTATGTCACTCGATTCATTTATTAAAACATGTTTACATGATTAAAAATGATGTTTCCTATAATCCCAAATCATGATGATGAAAATGTATTTTAAAATTTGCACTTTCTTTATTTGTGAATATTTCTAATATGAATTATGGTATTAGAAAATCAGAACCACGGGTTATTATTGAAATCACCACTCTAGTTGATATTGATCTTTATGAAAAGTGAGAAATGCTAAATAATCTTTATATTAACATTTTTTTTGTTAGAGTTCAAAGTTTTGTTGATTAGCATGACAATATGAGAGATTTATTAAAGGTTATTGATGAACTATCTATCACAATTGATAAATCTCCTCTCAATATTATTATCATACATTTTCATCTTTAAAGCTCATGGATTAAGGGAGTGTGTGATCACATCATGCGCATAAGGGACTTTGTGACTCAACTCAAAACCTTGGAAGTTACAATGTTTGATTCGTTTCCGGTACATTATATTTTGTGCACTCAACTTCATAAATATGCTCATTTTAAAATTTCTTATAACACATATAAGAATAAGTGATCTATTAATGCATTGTTGATCATGTGCATTTAAGAAGAAGAAAGATTGCTAATGGTGAAAGGTGAAATGATGAGCTTGATTACTTCTCTTGAGAATAAGAAAAATTAAATTAATCAGAATGAAAAAATGTGTCTTAAACCAGTTATAAAGGAGGAGACCAAGTGTTTATTTGATAAATTTTGTATGTTTGAAGAATATTGATAAAACAATTATCATAATTTTGTAAAAAAAGTCGCACAAATCTTTTTCAACTTGGACATGCTTTAGCATAAAACAAACAAGACAAGTTATCATGAATAGTTATTCTATAATGTTTATTAATATTTCTTTGACATGTACATTTTTGTATATTCTCTATCGATTGAACTGTTTGAAAAACATGGAAGAATACCACTACAATTTGCTAAGCCATGTCAGAATTGTGTATCCTAAACGTCAAAATGATGCAGCATTACTAGTTGAAATCACGAAAAACATTTCAAGTAAAAGATCGTCTATGGTGCACCTGCACATGGAAGAACAAGGTAGTGTTCCATCAAAAAATGATTGAACAACAACTCCAAAGTCCATGCCTCATTACTATGCTAAAGTTCTTCACTGATAAATATAACTGCGTAGCATTGTGTTATGCATTACAATTATTCAAGAACATATCATTCAAAGTGTCTAAATATTTTTCGTGTTGAACTAGTTAACTTTCAAATTTAAGTATGTGTAATTGTTAAGTACATATTTTGTGATGTTTTTACTAGAAAATGGTGTCTTATTTAGGATTTATTTTAGTTAATTAGCTCATATAAGAGTAGGTTCTCTTATTTTGCTAAATTCTCTTTTATTTTAGAATTAGTGTTAATAGAATAGTTTTAGCATATTTTTAGGAGTGTCTAGCTTGCCTTTAGTTTTTAGTAGTTTAGTTTTGCATTTTTAAGATTAGGACTCTAGATTTAGTTCGTAAGAATAGGTAATCTAGTAGTGTTAGGTGCATAAGATCTACCTTAGTTACTTTTCTTCACTGGCTTAGGAGTGTAGCATTAGTTTAGTACATGACAATTATGTTTATTAGTTTTCTTCAATTATAATATTTTTAGAAAATATAGATAGCTTAGACTAGTTAGAATACTAGTGGAAAAAGTTTTTAGATTTTTAGTTAAAAATAGACTAGGTTACTAACTTAGTTTAAGTGTTTATCATTGGTTTTGTATAGCTAATTTGTGTAACTTGAATTGGTACAACAAAATTTATATTGATTCGTTTATTTTCGTTTTTGTATCTACGTGCCTTTGGGATCCAATTCTTCATTAAATTAAATATAAACCTGTTGTCACTAATTTTTGTGGAAAATTAAAAATATGAGTTCAGTGGATTAAGATAAGATATGAATCATCAAAGTCGATCCCATTTCTACGATAAGGACAAAACATAACAGAGGTTCCCACGCAGAAGATCAGAATTACACGTCATAAAAACATATAATATCACAACTTCATTTTAATTATAAAAAAATATCTAAAATTATGCTTCTAAACACTATTTTTTGTATTTTAATTAAAACCATAAAATATGAAACAAAAAAAAAATAGACATTACTTTGTTGAGTTGACGGATATTTTTCAAGAATAATCAAAGTCACATATACGTTAGAAACAGATAAAGAAAAAAGAAAAAAGAATGTTGTTTGAGTTGTTTTTTAAATAAGGAGTTTTGTTTTTTTGTCACTGATAAAAGGAGGTAATAGGAAAAGGATAAAAATGGCGAGCTTGTGTCTCCCACTCTTCTTCCAATACACAACATTCATGATTTCCGAATGAAGATTGCATCTCACTCCGACATCACTGAAGCAGTCCAGCCTCTCCTGTCGCCGGAATGCGAGCACTCGGCGGAGGATCGGGGTGCGCCGAATGGGTCAATCAGCGGAGCGGTGTTCAACATATCGACGACCATGATCGGTGCCGGAATCATGTCGGTTCCGGCGACGATGAAGGTGCTGGGCATAGTTCCGGGGTTCCTGGTGATCCTGTTGGTGGCACTTGTAACAGATGTGACCGTGGAATTTATGCTGAGGTACACGAGTTCCGGAAAATCCACTACTTACGCGGGCATGATGGGGGAATCGTTTGGGTCCGTTGGATCCCTCGCCGTTAAGATTTGCGTTCTCATAACCAATTTCGGAATCCTCATTATATATCTCATTATTCTAGGTAATTTCCTCTTCCTTATTTTTGGAGTTCTTGTCTATATGCATATATTATTTTTATTTTATTTTTAACTAGAATAAAAGAATTAAAATGAATACGTTTTAGAATTAAAGTATTAGAATCAAATTATTGCTAAACCAGTAGAAATGAACTTGTGATTATTTTTAGTCTTTTCTTTTTACCTGCACTTTTTGTATTTTGGGTGATTGTATTCCTGAGAAATGAAAATTTCAATGGATCTGTGACTAATAATTGATTTGCAATTGTGGGAGTAGGGTATACAGTAAATAATTATTAAAATCTCCATTATTATGGTTACCATTTTTTTTCTAACAATAATAGATATTCTGTTTTGAAACGTTTTTATTAAAATTAATTCATTTTTAATAAATATTTCACTTTAATTGAAACAGAAAATAATTTATTATGTATCAATTAAAATAAAAATCAATGTATTACTGAAAATATCACTTAGTTTGATTTTTTTTCTTAATAAGCTAAAACTATTGTTAGGGTGGACGAATGAAATCATTTTTAGTTAGGTTAACGTGACTTTTATCTTTTTTTTTGAATCTGAGTGTTAACAACATTAACAATACACTATTTAATACATATTTTTTTTCTCACATACATTTACTTTTGATTAAACTTTATTTAAATCTATACAATTATTTGAGAATTATTAAACGCGATGTTAGATTTATTTAAAAAATATTTCTAATATATCAGTTAAAATAGAACGTGTTTGAAAGTGGGGGGGATATAATTAAGCTGTTCACACCGCCATATCTTCATAGTTTCAACCATTCTCTACATTATATGTATTTAAGGTTTTTAATGTATGAAAAAAAATAATATTTGGATTACATATTATGTGAAAATCAAGCTAAACTATGTTATCCATAATTTATTAATAATTTTTGACTAAAAAATATGACATGTGGAGATTGAGCTATTTTTTCTCTTAATAATTTGTGATACGTATAAATTTGAGTGTGTTGATTGCCTTGGGTTATGAAGGAGACGTGCTGTGTGGAAATGAGTCCAACGGAACTACACACTTGGGTGTTCTACAAGAATGGTTTGGCATCCATTGGTGGACCTCTCGTGCTTTTACTCTTCTTATTGTTGCTCTCTTCATAATGCTTCCACTCGTTATGTTACGTCGTGTTGGTAAGCACTCTTACTTTTCAAATGCATAAGCAATTAATTGCTACACTTTGTCTTAACAATTGGCTAATCAAGCATAGCCTGTGTCTTCGTTTTCGATGTTTTCTGTGAACAGATTCACTGAGGTATACTTCTGCAATATCAATCCTACTAGCATTGGTCTTTCTTGCAATATGCTCATCAATGGCGTTTAGTGCATTGTTGTCCGGCAAAACTCAATCACTAAGGATGGTGCCTGATTTCTCTCTAGTCACTGTCCTTGATCTTTTCACCACTATCCCTGTCTTTGTCACTGGTTTCGGATTCCATGTCAATGGTTAGTTTCATGATTTTATAAGTTCCTACTGATTATTTATAATTTTTTCTTTTCATTTTGAAGAAAATAATTTGCTTATTTGTGTGAATGAACACATGATTTGATGCAGTTCATCCAATTAGAGCAGAGATTGGAAAAGTTACAGACATGGGTAAGGCTGTGAAGATTTCATTAGTAATATGCGTGGTTGTTTACTTTGCCATTGGCTTCTTTGCGTACCTATTATTTGGGGACTCCATCATGCCCGATGTGTTAGTAAACTTTGATCAAAACTCCAATACCCATGTTGGTCGATTGCTGAACGATATTGTTAGAATAAGCTATGCACTCCATCTTGCCCTTGTCTTCCCCATCATGAACTATTCCTTGAGGATCAACATAGATGAACTTATTTTCTCAAACAAAAATAAACCTCCCTTGGCTTCAGACACCCCAAGATTTGTGTCACTCACTTTGTCTTTGCTAGTCCTCACATACTTGGTGGCTGTTGCCATCCCAAACATTTGGTATTTCTTCCAGTTCTTGGGATCCACAACCGTTGTTTGCACCTCATTCATCTTTCCTGCTGCAATAGTTCTAAGGTATATGCTACTATCAAATTTTCCTACTCTTTATATATCTATAACTTTGCTTAATTTATATATTCATTGATGTTTTCTGTCTGTACACAGAGATGGCAAAACAGAGTTTGTTTCTCATTCTTCTCTTTTGAATGCAGGGACATGCATGGCATATCAAAGACAAAAGATCGAGTCATTGCAATTTCGGTCATTGTTTTTGCTGTTGGGACAAGCGGAATTGCTATATGGACCAACTTGAATCCAGGGGATGGTTAATGATTAAAATTAGCCATGTTATTAAGAGGTTGATTGGTTTGATGAATCCAATATACTGAATCAATTAAAATTCAAAATCTTTGTTTAGTTAGGTTATCTAAATTAAACTAGTAAAGTTGATGGATGATGGATTTTCTAAAAAATCCATTAAATCCAGGTTGAACAAATGATATTAAATATTGTTAATGATTTTATTATTTGTTTAAGCTATTTTTTATTGAATACCCTTTATACATGTAACATTGAGTTCTTTATTATTTGTTTAAAATACAATATCCTTTTGATGGTGTTTTTGATTTACCATAACATTGAGTTATGTGTGGGTGTTCTACTCAACGTGTTTTTATATTGTGGGTGTCAGGTGCTAGAAGATTTAAAAAGACAGAAAACTGGTTCTAAATTTAATAATATATCAAATTTCTTTTTATTTTTTGTCTGATTTTTTTCTCTCAACTAAAATTGTTAGCTTCACTCAGTTCAAATTGAACCAAATGTTAACTTTGTAAAAATGTAACTTTTGAGTTAATTAACCAGTAACAGTTTTGACTTTGCAGAAACTCGTGTTGATTTCATTTATCAAAATTACAACAAACTTATATTATAATTTTTAATTAAAAAATTCACGTGATCAATTTTATAAATATAAGAGTTAAAAATATGAATATGATTATGATATATATATAGATATAGATATAATTTATTATTAAAATATATTTTTATAGATATAGATTGTAACATCCCAAAAATACAGTAACAAACCATATAATAGAATTAATTACATTTAATAATATATCAGTTCAGTCTTACACTAAACCACGTACGCTTACGGCCGAACGACCTTACATAAACTTTCCAACTAAACTGTACAAAAATGAGAGAGAACAATGAGAGAGAACATGACCGAACGATTTACAAAAGTCAAATACCGAACGGTCAGATGACAACAAAAGAGAGGAGGAGACCGAACGATCACCTCATGATAAACTACAACTACTAACCGAATATCCTACGGTTCGACCTTTACTTCCACTTCGACCAAGTTTTCTTCTTCCAGCGCCTCTTCCAGCGCCTCTTCCAGCAGCGCGTCTCCTTCTGCTTACATCCACACGGATGATCATTGCAACGACAAGACGAACGTACAAGACGAGACAACACAAGGAAAACACAGGGTAAGCTTATGTAATTTAATTCATGCATCAACATATATGTTAACCAATCCAACACACAAGAGCATTTCAACACATGTATCACTACGAAGCCTATCACTAGATTGACCGTCCGGACTGTATGAAATCTGCGTAGCTACAGGCATTCGTGCACCCGGGTGATGTAGTAACTGGAATACTCTCATCAGCTGCCACCCGAGGTTAGTCCTATCTGTCCAAAGTACCCCTAAGGACTAGGACCTCCTGCTGTTCCCACACATGACCTACCCTCCTCTACGTGAAGACGAGTACTCACGGAACATCAGGATGAACAACCAGCTTAGCATGCCCACAGTCATACTTTACCAAATCCAATATTCATACATGAGTCGTTCCTCCCCGGAACGCTCGTCCATAATCCACAACATTTCTAAATCACATTTTCTTCATCTTTCATTAATAAATATCTCAGTGAACTATCTCGGACAAAGATTCCAATAAACTTTAAAATGACGAACGTTCAACCCGAACTGAGAACAAGATCGAACACGTGGAGTGAGAATGAGAGATAATGAGTACAATAATATATTCCAAGGACGAATGGGACGAACGTCAATTTCAACGTTGAGTCAATTAGATGAACTGACTCTTGAGAACTCACTCAGAACAATAAAAAAAAAACCTAAACCAAGGACGTAGACTCTAGGGTGAAACCAATGAATAAGGATATTTCTAGGCATTCAAAAACTGGTACTTAAAGTGATTCACATGAAGAAAACCGAACATTTGTGTTTAATTGAGTTTAGTATCAAGGAATCAAAATGTCAGTCAAAGACTGAACGCTATAGAGAGCGAACCCTAGAGGGCTTAAACGAACGCTCGTATAAACATTAGCTTAAGGAGATGGAACGAGTGCCTGGTGTAAGACCGAGCACTACTCAGTACGAGTGCTTAGTGTAAGACCGAGCACAAATACTTTAACATAAAAAGCCTTGATAAACATAGTATAATAATATTGAAGTAGTGTTTACGAACAATAAAATATACAATTACATATATACTTAGATTTATAACCGAACGCTCATACACAGTATTCCGAAGTGAAAACGCTCGTCCTCAAATAGGATTCTTCCCAAATGAAAGAATCCACTACAAATCCAACTTCACTAGAAAACCGAACGGTAAAGGACCGTTCAGTAACGTACGTACACTTTCTTAAGGGAATTTCTTACCAAAATCAATATTATTCAAATTCAGTTCTTAACATATAATTTCACACCTTTATACATTCATACCATCCAATCATAAAAATTTCATACATTTCATGCATCATAACATAACACCATCATTTTTCATATCAAATCAAGTCAACGAACGTTCATGCAACACATAGTCATATAAATTAAATTAATAAGCTTCCCTTGCCTCTTAAGGTGGTCGAACATTCACAGATATGGGCTAGGGTTCTTCTTCTAACAGAGGCCTTAACGTTCTACAACACGTTCTACGAACTATAACCAACATAAAACCAGACAGATACTCAGAATGATAGGATCAGCTCATGCAACCAAGAATCTGGGTTTGCATGTTACAGAAAAGACATGAATGGAGGAAGGATGAACTTACCAGTTCATAATCTTAAACTGATCGGTTCAAACGATCGTCCTCTACGCCAGAAGTGTAGAACTGGTGTCTGAAGGGTGATCGGAGAAGAGAAAGAGTGAGTTTTGGTAGAGAGAAGGGAGAGCTGTTTAGAGAGAAGGAGGAGAAATGAAGATCAGAGTTTTGGAGAAGAAGGGTGCATGCAGAGAAAGAGTGACGCGGATTTCAGAAAAATCAATTTTATTTCAAACGAATGTCCGCTCTCCTGCTGACACCTGCATTCCACTATCTGATTTTCGGATCATCGTTTCTTGACACCTGGCGTCCGTTCAGAGGGGTTTTGGGTGCGTTTTAAATGAGGTCTGACATAGATATATAAAAATATAGATATAATTCACCTTATTTATATATTTTTTTATTAAATCTTTTATTAAAATATATTATTTGTGGTTAACACAATTCCAAGAACCCACTGGAATCATAATTCTATTTGACGTGTCATAATTCTATTTGACATGAATTATTTAGATATTTGAATATTTGTAATTTATGGTCTGCTATCTTTCAAACAAATTTACTTAGACAACCTTATTCTAAGATATTTTTAATATTTTATTTCTTATTTATTTGTTTTGTAGCATGTTTTTCCATTATCTGAAGGTATTCTTTGGTCTTCGATTTACTTCGTATTCAGTAAAACAAATTATTCTTTATAAACTACATTTTTTCTACCTTATCTTGATTTTAACTACACATCTAGTCTAAGTTGTCTTCTACTGTTAAATTTAATTTAATTTTGAAGTTATAAATAATTTTGTATATATAATAAAAAACAAAATTTATATAAAATACACTGAATGAAACGTTCATTTTAAATATAATAATTATATAAAAGTTAAGAAAAATTATTATTTTGTCAGGACAGCTTTTAAGACAAATTCTTTAAAGGTTATAAGTAATTGACCAATAAGAGAAAGGGTCCACACAGCCATTCTTCATATTCCAAGTTACTTGACCAAGAAGAAAAAGGGTCCACACCGCCATTCTTCACATTCCCGTCCAAGTTCATCACGCTTCTCATCCATCCTGCAATAAACCACCTAATAAACGACGTCGAATCCTCACGCTTTCACATTTACCATATTACCCTTTTGTCTTCTACCTTTATTTGTCCATGCCAATTCATAAATGGCATTATCGTAACCTCGCAACCTTAATAATTGGAATGTAAAGTAATTATAAATCCAACCATCTTGTCGTTAGACACTACACTTATCATCGCTGTTCCTACACACCACTGCTGGAATGTCGCCTGTGACCGGAGCTCGTGTTCCTCTCCTCCCTGACTCTAAGGGTGGTGTTCCTCCGGCAACGATTTCTGGTGCTGTGTTCAATGTTGCCAACAGCATAATCGGCGCTGGCATAATGTCTCTTCCGGCAACCTTGAAGGTTCTTGGTGTGATTCCGGCTTTGGTGTTGATTCTTGTGATTGCGTTTCTGGCTGAACTTTCTGTAGAGTTCCTGATGAGGTTCACGCGTGCTGGACAGACGACAACGTATGCTGGTGTGATGAGAGAGGCATTTGGACCAGTGGGAGCTGTAGCAGCTCAGATAGCTGTTGGATTTACTAATATGGGGTGTTTAATTATGTACCTTATTATTGCTGGTAAGCAAATATTTAACTTTCTTTTAAATTTATTAATTAGGATATGGACAGAGTTTTTTTATAACAGCTCTATGTAAAGACATGTAAGAAGTAAAATTCAGATAATTTTCTCCTAATCTATGTATGAAAAAGATTTATTTTACAATTCAACTTATTTATTTATTTTTTAACTTTTCTAAAAAGGTGCTTCTGAAAAGTTACTTTAATAAAAGTTTTATAAATTTTAATTTTTTAATGTTGCATGAAAAAACTTTAATGTATAATGAAAGTCACTTCACTTCTTTTATTTTTATGTTTTGAGAAGTCTTTGAGAAAATTTCTCAGAAAAACTTTGTTCAAAGATCAATTATGATAACTTGGGTTACTTGATGCAATGAACAGCGGATGTGTTTTCTGGTAATAATCGCCAAGGAGAAGTACACTTGGGTGTTTTGCAACAATGGTTTGGAGTTCACTGGTGGAATTCAAGGGAATTTACTTTGTTAGTGATCTTGCTCTTAATTTTGCTTCCATTGGTCTTGTACCNCTTTTATTAAAATATATTATTTGTGGTTAACACAATTCCAAGAACCCACTGGAATCATAATTCTATTTGACGTGTCATAATTCTATTTGACATGAATTATTTAGATATTTGAATATTTGTAATTTATGGTCTGCTATCTTTCAAACAAATTTACTTAGACAACCTTATTCTAAGATATTTTTAATATTTTATTTCTTATTTATTTGTTTTGTAGCATGTTTTTCCATTATCTGAAGGTATTCTTTGGTCTTCGATTTACTTCGTATTCAGTAAAACAAATTATTCTTTATAAACTACATTTTTTCTACCTTATCTTGATTTTAACTACACATCTAGTCTAAGTTGTCTTCTACTGTTAAATTTAATTTAATTTTGAAGTTATAAATAATTTTGTATATATAATAAAAAACAAAATTTATATAAAATACACTGAATGAAACGTTCATTTTAAATATAATAATTATATAAAAGTTAAGAAAAATTATTATTTTGTCAGGACAGCTTTTAAGACAAATTCTTTAAAGGTTATAAGTAATTGACCAATAAGAGAAAGGGTCCACACAGCCATTCTTCATATTCCAAGTTACTTGACCAAGAAGAAAAAGGGTCCACACCGCCATTCTTCACATTCCCGTCCAAGTTCATCACGCTTCTCATCCATCCTGCAATAAACCACCTAATAAACGACGTCGAATCCTCACGCTTTCACATTTACCATATTACCCTTTTGTCTTCTACCTTTATTTGTCCATGCCAATTCATAAATGGCATTATCGTAACCTCGCAACCTTAATAATTGGAATGTAAAGTAATTATAAATCCAACCATCTTGTCATTAGACACTACACTTATCATCGCTATTCCTACACACCACTGCTGGAATGTCGCCTGTGACCGGAGCTCGTGTTCCTCTACTCCCTGACTCTAAGGGTGGTGTTCCTCCGGCAACAATTTCTGGTGCTGTGTTCAATGTTGCCAACAGCATAATCGGAGCTGGCATAATGTCTCTTCCGGCAACCTTGAAGGTTCTTGGTGTGATTCCAGCTTTGGTGTTGATTCTTGTGATTGCGTTTCTGGCTGAACTTTCTGTAGAGTTCCTGATGAGGTTCACGCGTGCTGGACAAACGACAACATATGCTGGTGTGATGAGAGAGGCATTTGGACCAGTGGGAGCTGTAGCAGCTCAGATAGCTGTTGGATTTACTAAAATGGGGTGTTTAATTATGTACCTTATTATTGCTGGTAAGCAAATATTTAACTTTCTTTTAAATTTATTAATTAGGATATGGACAGAGTTTTTTTATAACAGCTCTATGTAAAGACATGTAAGAAGTAAAATTCAGATAATTTTCTCCTAATCTATGTATGAAAAAGATTTATTTTACAATTCAACTTATTTATTTATTTTTTAACTTTTCTAAAAAGGTGATTCTGAAAAGTTACTTTAATAAAAGTTTTATAAATTTTAATTTTTTAATGTTGCATGAAAAAACTTTAATGTATAATGAAAGTCACTTCACTTCTTTTATTTTTATGTTTTGAGAAGTCTTTGAGAAAATTTCTCAGAAAAACTTTGTTCAAAGATCAATTATGATAACTTGGGTTACTTGATGCAATGAACAGCGGATGTGTTTTCTGGTAATAATCGCCAAGGAGAAGTACACTTGGGTGTTTTGCAACAATGGTTTGGAGTTCACTGGTGGAATTCAAGGGAATTTACTTTGTTAGTGATCTTGCTCTTAATTTTGCTTCCATTGGTCTTGTACCGTCGTGTAGGTAAGTTCTCATTACATTTCTCTTTGTTTCACTGTGGTTATGATGCTCAAATTTGTATCATGAATTTACTAGCCCATTTAACAAAACTTAAATACTGTTGTATTAGATTGAAGTTTCATCACTCAAATTTTGATTAGAAAATAAAGTAGAAGTTTTGTTCTTTTTTGTTATTGATATAAGATGTGCATGAGTGTGCATAGCCAGGAATAACATTTTATTTTGTATCATGCCATTGTGTGTTGGTTGCAGAGTCGTTGAAGTTCAGCTCTGCAATATCAACTTTTCTTGCTGTGGCCTTTGTTACAACTTGTACTGTGTTGGCCATAATTGCTATTGTAGAAGGAAGAACACAGTCTCCTAAATTGATTCCTCATTTGGACGAACAGACCACTTTCTTCGACCTGTTTACTGCAGTTCCAGTGATTGTCACAGCTTACACATTTCATTTTAATGGTACTTGTCAAGTTATAATCAATGGTGGTTTTGTTACCCTTATAGTAGATTTGGTAACTGATGATTGATTTTACTTGAACTGCAGTACATCCAATTGGATTTGAGCTTGCTAATGCATCAGATATGACAACAGCAGTTCGATTAGCATTACTGCTTTGTGCAGCTATTTACTTTTCTATAGGACTATTTGGGTATCTCTTGTTTGGGGATTCCACACAATCTGATATTCTGGTAAATTTTGACCAGAATACTGGATCTGCAGTTGGTTCTTTGCTCAATGTTTTAGTTCGATTAAGCTATGGATTGCATGTTATACTCACTTTTCCAGTTTTGAACTTCTCCTTAAGAACCAACATAGATGAATTCCTCTTTCCCAAGAAGCCTCTATTAGCCACTGACTCTAAGAGATTTGTGAGTCTCACTGTAGTTTTACTAGTCTTGAGCTACCTTGCTGCTGTAGCAGTCCCAGATATTTGGTACATCTTTCAGTTTGTGGGATCAACATCTACTGTGTGTCTTTCCTTTGTCTTCCCTGGTGCTATTGTTCTAAGGTAATCTACCATTTTCTCTAGTAATTATATTCATTTGTCTTCCATTTAAGACTTGCAATTTCCAAATAAATAAACAAAACCCCATTCTAAATTGTTTTTGTTTCAAAAAAATGGCAGGGATTTATACGGTATAGCAACTAGAAGGGACAAAATCATTGCACTGTTTATGGTCATACTAGCTGCAATAACAAGTGTGATTGCAATCTCCACCAACATATACAAAGCTTTTCAGTAGAAGCTCATCATCTGTGTTTTCTTCTTTTTCCTATCTCTTTCCATTTATGAAAGTTTTGGTCAGTCCAGAGATTCAAGATTCAGAGAGGGAGACAATAGCAGAAACATTTGACAGTCGAGGCACGTGTGTTTATAATCTTTAGGATGGTGTTGTATCTCATTATTACTTGTTATAAAATTGGTATATCTAGCAGTGTAAAATAACAAGCATGCCAAAGAAATAACATCATTTAAGCAGTAGAACTGAGTTTTCTTTAATTATGTCTGCAGAAGTTTTACTTTTTATTTTCTAAAACTGAACAATTTAGTCATTTCTAAGATCTCTATCCTCCAAATCCAAAAACCAGCCTCATTGCTTTAAATGAATGCTATAATTTAAGTGAGAAAGTTAAACAAATTTTGGCCACAATCCAGTTGCATATACACTTCCTGTTAAAATGTTGGTAGTTGATGTCCATTATTCTGAACAGATCTCAGTCAACGTCACCTTCATGGAATTAAAAAATAATTCACTGAGTCGGTTCATCAGTTCTTTAACGATTAGTTTTCTGTCATATTGATGGAGAAGGAACAGCTGGTGGAATAGTCAGAAGACAAATTTATTAAAATAAACAAGTTCATTGTATATGTGATTGGATCGATCTCCCAGTGATCTATGTTATGTTACTTATTTTTTAATATAAGCATATTTTAAAGATGTTGTTCAAAACATGTTTTAAAAAATGGATACAATTGAATTTATAATTGTATTCTACAACTATATGTAATCATTTACAGTGAGTATTACAAGTAAGGCAACAATGAAAGCATAGTCCACCCCTGCATTTATTTTGACTCTAAAGCTTTCTGTCCAATTGCTGAAATTGTTTCTTGGATATACATCAATTACCTGCAAACATGTTGAAGTTTATCTTTTTGGTTTGTAGTCACTTTTCCATTTTTAGAGAAAAAAAAAAATCAGGAACTTTGGCTTAATAATCTAAGTTAAGTAATTTATTTAACTTTATTTCATAATTTTACTCACTGGGACGAAACATTTTATTCATCTCAACTTATTGAAAAGTTAAATGAGAGAGTCTTACCACAATAAATGTGAAAGATGCTCAGATTAATTTAATTTATAGAAGTTCTAGTTACTTCATTTCTTTAATTTAATTCTATAAATAGTACTATTGGAAACTTTACTTAATTAAAACATTTTTTATTAAATTAAAAGAGTTAAAACAAAAGGATACCCCTGATGATAACCATAAACTATTGACATGTTCATGATATACAATTTATTGAATTCAACCAACTACAGAGATGTCTTATTTTTTTAATTCAATATAGACTAGACTTTTAACTAGCTAAAACAAATTCAAATATCTTTAGTAATATTAAATAAATTTAGTTGAACGATTTTGGATAAAGAATTTTAGAAGATAATTATTCTATAAAGAATTTGAAATATTCTATAGTATAATATATTATTTGGATAGATAACTATAAAAGAAAGAAAAATTATGAAAGTATACAGAATTTGGAACTTTTTCATAGCCTCTTTTCACTTAAATTTATCCTCACTCATTCAAGATTGATATGTCATTGGCTCGACATCGATTTTTCGACTTAATGAATGTTTTCTTTTAGTTAAAACCGGTTGTTGTTAGTTTTAATCGTTGTAACGAAAGTTAAACTGTTTACAAACATAAGCCAATATTATTTTTTAGCTAATGTTGGTAGCAATTTTTTGTCCATATTCAACATGTTTTTGGTTGATATCAAAATACAATTTTTTTTCCGTTAACATGATGTATTATTTTCAGTTGATGTGATGCCAAAACATTAATTAGAATTTTGTGTTAATGTTTATTAAGATTGTTTACAGCACATGTTGATCACAATGTAGGTTAGAATTATTTATCGATTAACATCCATAAGGTTTATTTTACTACCGTTAACAGTTATTTTTTCATTGATGTTAATTAGAATTTTTTTATTAATTTTTAATGAAACTATTTTTTGATTGATATAAATAAAAAAAATCTAGTCGAGTTGAATATAAATTATTTTTTAGTTATTAATGAAAACTATTAGGCTAAATTAATTATTGCAATGTTAAAAATTAAATAAAAATAATTAAAATCCAGTATTCTTAGAAAGGGCATACAACGCACCTCTGCAATGACGGTGTCTCCTTTGTAAATTTTGCAGGAGTTGTCGATGTGGCTCCCGACAAGTTGAAAGCTGCTGATAGCTTCGTTCATATCGGCGGCCATGAACACATCAAGCCGTGGCTTCATGTCAAGAGGGTGCGATCGTTGAACCCCAAATATCAGATTCCTTCTCCTCGAGCTTCTTCCTTGTGAACCATCCACCGATGCCTCAGTGATTTCAGATTAATCTTCAAGAACATCAATATCAGACACTACTTCTATCATATTTCATGCATGAAAAACATAAAGGTTTACCTTCTCCACGCATTGTAAGTATGGGGGAACCACCACCATCACGCATCATTCTTCTTTTCGAAAGTCTAGGCCTGAGCCATCAACTTCAAAAAAGACATTACCGTTTAACATCTAATACTTTGTATCTTTGCTTTAACAACACTACCGCAGTATTTCTTCTCACTGTTATTTCTGTTGGCGAAGTTTACACAGAAGCTATCGTCCACAACACTGATCTTCGAGAACCCTTCTGCAACTTCCAATGGCAATCAGAACCACTGGCCTCCATAAGATCTTATAGAAAGAAGATTTTTGCTTGGATTTTGTTGGTGTATAGGGCAGGAAGCAAACGCTATATATATGTATATTTGAGAGCGAAGTGGTTCTCTTTTCTCATGTTTGGTGTTCTTGAATTATCAGAACAAAACACGGTAGAAAAGTGAGATAAGGAATCACTATTTTATAATTACTTAATAATTTTGTTAGCACGAGCTTGATGTCTATTATTACCAATCAGAAATTCAAAATGACTTTTTCGTATATTTCATAGTCAGCTCTGAGACCTGAAGATAGATCACGACTCTGATAGCCTTCGTTTTTTGACGGTTCTCTCTTCTGTAATCTGCTACTTACTATTCTAATTGCAAGAGATTTCTCCGTAAACTTAGATAATTCAGAGATGAATAATATATATATATATATATGATTTACTATAATATATATATATATCAGTTCTTACATTTAACTTTTTCAAACAGGTAGTTTTGAATTTGGAGTATAGTTTTAGCTTATGTAGAAAAACTTATTTCATTATTATATTTTCTAATATTCTAAATGAATATTTTGAAATCTTGATTCAAAAAGGTTAGCTGAAAATTTTTGTAGAATTTCTGTCTCAAAGTTCAGACTGAAGAATATTTGAAATGTAGGAAAAAGAAATACTAAAGCAGTTGACCCCTAAACCTTTTAGAGACAATGTACCGAGTTGAAATTGGTATTTAATGTGTATGAAAACATTTAGAGGAACCAAGTCAATATAGCCAAAAACATGTACTTCAGATTTTACAAGTAATCGAATGAATGTCATAAACAAGGATTTAACTATCACCTTTAATATAAGTTATTTGCAATGATAAAAAAAATACTTTAAACCTAAATAATTATAAAAAAATGATGGATTTTTGAATATCTTTGCAACATATCTCAATGAGTGATGTTACGGAAAGATAGGGTCAAAGATTGGATGCTCTCGGGTAGACTAAATCAGATTTAAGCACACAAAAACAAAATAAATAACATAAAAAGAAAACAACATAAAAGAATCCGCTGTAGGCCTTCTTAAATAGTCTTTTCACCTGTTTATGTGAATCAGCAGAGAGTATCATGTCGCATTATTTGACTCTGAAACTTTTATGATTCATGTCATTCATTATTCGGTGTATGCATTTCTCCACCTTATATGTTCTGTGTCTCACCTAGCTTGTTGAGAAAATCAATTTACATACACTATCACTATTTTGTGTGAATCAAATGGCATGACAGATTTTGTATTTGATAATGAATGTTCCAATAAAACTTTTCTCAGTGGTTATTTGACATTGGAGGTTACATTGTCTTGTCTTTATACATCTTGTCATTTCTTTAGTGTATTTATTTTTCATACTATGTGTTTTTTGTCTTACCTAAATTGTCAGAAACACTAGTACATATGACATATGTTATTATTTTATGCAAATAAAAATGACACGATAAATGTATAGTATGATCGTCCGATCACTATGAATCGGGTGGTCAACCAGTATACGATCACATATGAGTTGCTCAATTGGACTAAAAACAAAGTTAACGCTAAAAATAATTACATTAATCTTAAGCTAGATCATCATAGTTTGGGCCGTAATTAGTCCAACACTAATCAGAAGTCCATCTCCAAAATCTATAAATACTGGTTTGGTATTCAAGTAGTTGGTTACATTGATTGCACATTTATTGCTAGCGCTATCAGACAAACACTGACTTTAGCACTTGGTATTACCTGAATACCAAACTTATATTTATAGATTTTGGAGATGTGTTTTTTATTAGTGTTGGGATAATTACGATTCAAACGGTGGTGATCTAACTTAGGGTTAATGTAATTATTCTTAGAGTTAATTCTGATTTTAGTCCGACCAATTGGTTTACCGACCGACTCATATGGGATTGTAGACTAGTTAACCATCTGATGCATAGCTTACCGGACGGTCATCTATACAATAAATTTTGTATTTGATCTATAATGTTAATGAAAAATTTTCAGGATAGTTGTTTGATAATGGACTCATTCTTATGCGTTACTATTACTAAAGTGTCAAACTCCCCTTCTATATAGAGAGAGAAATGAATACAACTTTGATTAACATAACCATTCCTGCAATAATAACCGAAACTAACATACTAATTAACTAGCTATCTGCCATTAGTTAAATTGTTACATGGTGATGGTGATGATAGCATGTATAATGGAGGAGTGTAAACATTTTACACTACAAATAAATTCTTTATGGATCTTTCAATGAATTATTCATAAAAAAACATAAAACATAATACCAATGAGATACGAGTAGAATCCAAAGGAATTGTCACCGTTTCTAATCCAAAACATTATGACTCACATTTGGATAATCCAATAATTTTTCCTGTATGAGTTCCTTCGTATTGATACTTCTCTCTCACGGAAACATTTCACACCATGATTACCTCCTTAGTGTATAGCCAATCATCATACATGACATGCTTACCTAATTCTATGACAAGAAAATTTTTGATATAGCTATTCATGTGAGTTGGTCACCAAGACTAACAATCTGATGAGTCTTTTGAAGAAGATTTAGATAAGACACAATATTAATAAGACATGAGTTCAAGCCACTTAAAGGACTCATATTTGGTTTCCCAAGAGACCCTTACTATGTTATATCAATGGAATTAAGGTCATAACATCTTGCTTTGCAACAAAATTGTAATTAACAGTTTAAACAAAACCAAGTAAGATATATTCTATCGATCATTTACAACAACATGTGAAAATCGTAGGAAGGAACAAAGTCGTCCTCTTGGTCTTTCATCCAGCACTACACACATCACCTACCGAATTTATTGAGTGACCCCGAGCCAACAATGAATACTCTAATTCATGTACAATACATGCACATAATATGAATAAAACATTGCATTCATAATGTCCCACAAAACATATAATGTTATGGAAGGAAAATTGTAAGTTGATTCTGTTTAAAAAATACATCATCACGATGAAGTCCAAATGCAAGAAAGTACAAACCATGAAGTGTGAAAATATGGTAGTAAATGTGTTTCTGAAAAAGACAGTAATTATTGCAGTATATATTAGAATATCAGAAACCAGAAGGAGAAAAGAGATAAGGAAGAAAATGATCTTATTATTATCAACCAAAAGGCTAATATATACAACATAAAAAGAAACAGAACTGAACTGTGAACAGAGATAAAATTACTGAGAAGTTTGAAATAACTTCTCTTGGTTGTAGGAACAATCAGTCTACTTTTTCCTATTCTTTTACATTAATCCTTTTATGAGCGTGAACAAAAATAAGATAGTAAATACTACTCCAATAATCTTTTTTCGAAACCTCCTGTAAGACCCTGTCCTTCCTCATGTTAGAAAATTATTGTTTGAAAAGAAAAAAAAATGGCTCCTAAATAAGTAGGAAATTTGGTTTATGTTTATTCCAACCTTCTATTCTTTTCCAGAAAAAAATATAGTAAAGCAAAGGCAAAGTTATAGGATACTAGATTCTGGTGCAGGATTTCTTGAATACGAACCGTGAGTGAAAGCCATGCTTTTTCTTTATAATGGGAGTTAGGAGGACAAAACTGATACAGTCAGGCAGTAATTAGCAAGCATTTGTATAGGGCTAACACTTTATGAATGGTAGTTAACGTTGATAGAAGAAAGAATGTGTTATAGTTGGTAAGAAATTACTATACTTCTTTGCTTTGATCACGAGATTTTTTTTTTTTCAAGTTGTGATCATTATCATCGACAAATGTCGTTGATGGCTATGCATTAATGAAAAACAATAGTTTCTTTCCAAATTTATTCTTTTGTTGGTTTCATTTCAACTCTGATATTAAGTTCTGAGCTTCATGTTACTATTTCGCTGAGTCAGTTCCCTAGTCTTGTTGCCAATATTCTTTAACATGTAAGAGAATAGTAAGAGTGCAACCTGCACACTTTATGGAAGTTTGTTGGTTGCTAGTTAGCCTTTTGCTAATGTTCAAGTTCCAATTCTAATCTTGCTGCATAGGGATGCTAAATTCCTCTGGTTTGGCTATTTTACACGAATACATTTTTATATTTTTTGTTAGAGTATTTAATCCATATCTTAGTATGTTTAGAACATCTATAGTATCTTACCCACTTATCACACCTTAAGTATTTATTTGGGCTAACAGCTGATTTCAGCAGCGATCATAGTGTCAAACAACACTAAAACTGCGACAGAGATATGTTGGAAATCCAAAGAAGTTGAATAGAAATGAAAAAAATAGAACACTATACTATATAAAAATGAATGACTCATGAACTAATTCCTTTAAGGTTTCTGAGAATGGGGTCAATCTATCATGTGGTTAGTTTAGATTTCATTAGTGTTTTTGTCTCCCTCCTTTAGACCCAATAAGATAATATCAAGAATATCCTGGAAACTAAACAAATTATTCGTCTAAACATTCCATTTGTCTCATTTCTTGCTATCAAGAACTGGCAAATTTCTAGGAATGTGCCCGTTGAGAGCCGTCATGGTGATGACAAATTACACTATGATAAAAAAGAACTCTCTTCTTTTGTCAAGTCCCAAGATCTTCTTGTTCTGGATACTAATTTGTTAGGAAGAGAGAAGTTGCGGGTTGATTCATGACCATTCTTGACAATATAGTTATACAGAAAGCTTACTATTAGACGAAATATTAACTTTTTTTTACTTTAGCTAAAGCAACCCAAGTTCACGAGTTTCTTTCCCGCTGACAATTGTTCAGAAGGTTGCACAATTATCCTGTGACGTAGGTTAAATGAGTCAAATCACAGTAAAAAATTTCGATTCCTAGTAGAACAATTGGTGAGAGAG